GTTTTCTCGTGTTCAATCATTTAGTTTCTCAGGCATTCATGTTCAGGCATTTAGTAATTTAAACTTTCTTGTGTCCAGTCATATATTTTTTAGTCTTTCTTGTGTTCAGTCATATATGTTTTTTTTTTTTTTTTGGCTTTTTTTTTTTTTTGGCTTTTGTTCATTTAGCTTTTTTTGGCTTTCTAATGTTCAGGCATATGTTTTTCCAGTCTCATATGTTGTCATTTGTTTTTTTTAGGCTTTCTGGTGTTCAGTCATATAGTTTTTAGGCCTTCCCATGTTCAGTCATATAGTTTTTTAGGCTTTCAGTTGTTTAATCATTCAGCTTTACAGAGTTCCCATGGTCTCATCTTATTTTCGACAACTGAGTAGTACAATTGTAAGGTTATGTGAATGAAGCCACCCATTTTTTTGGTGGCAGCGGTGGGATACAGGCCAGGATAGGAAGACGATGGAGGCAGGATAGGATAGGGATAGACATATGAGGTAGAATAAGCAGGGAAAAGGATTAGACAAGGGAGAAGCTAGTGCTGAAGTAGAGGGGAGTGGAAAAGGGGGGACGAGAAGAAGGTGCGAATATGAGTAGGAGAGAGGGATAGGAAGATCCTGGAAAGGAGGGAAGGTGGATAGGCGATGGGTATGGTTTAGGGGAAAAGGAGGTTGATTTTTAGGCTTTTAGTCCTTCACTATATTTTTTCAGGTTTTGAGCTTTCAGTTTAGATATTTTGTTTTTTTTCAGAAGTTTGGCGGTTCACTCATTTTTCAGGCTTTTCGTGGTTCGTGCATTTCGTTTTTCAAGCATTCGGGAGATCAGATATTTTTTGTCTTGAGAGAGAGAGATATGCAAGCAGGAATGCTCTGCAATGGCGGAGAGAAGGGAGATACTCGTGGGTCATAAAGAAGGGAAACTGTGCGATCCTGTGTTACTGAGCTCATTATAGTATATATATATATATATATATATATATATATATATATATATATATATATATATATATATATATATATTTATTTATTTATTTTTATTTACACAAATATGTATATATATATATATATATATATATATATATATATATACATACATATGTGTGTGTGCAGCTATATGTATACATACATTCATACATGTATATTTATATGCACATATATATGTATACATGTAATAATGATAATGATAATAATGATATTATTATTATTATTATTATTATTATTATATTATTACTTGTTTATATATGTAAATGTATGTGTATGTGTGTGTTTGTGTGCTCAATATATATTGTATATATATACACCTATATATATGTATGTGTGTTCGTGTACATATGTATAGGTACTTATTAATGGCCCTCAGTTTCGGCAGGGGCGCCAGGGTTAGTGTCAGAACAGCGGAAAGAGGGTGGGTGGCTCGGCGGTTTCGTCTGATCCTCGCGAGACAGACAGACCGACAGACATCATGACAGACAGGTGTATATCATGACCAGAGGCAAATCCCCCCTTGGTTATGGTGGTATTTGCATATTCCTTTTTTTTTTCTTTTTTCTTTTTCTTTTTTCTTTCTATCGCAAGGACAAGTCTCTCGCTCGGACATGTGACGCCTCGCGGGAACTGTGCTGGAAGTAAGCTTGTTATGGACTCTCGGGTCACGTTGGAGTGTGTAGGTCTGTGTAGTAGAGTGTGCGAATGTGCGTGTGTGTGATTATGTGATTTTTATTTGTGTAGGTCAGGAAAGATGCACTCACACGCACACAGGTAATGTAAACGGTTTATCGAAGCATGTATTATATTTTATAATTATCTCTTTATTATAAAATATGATTTTATTGTTTCTTTTATCATTTTTACTCTGATTACCCCCATTCCGACTACCCCTCTGCCATTCGTCTTTGCCTGACCCGCCGCCCGGCCCTCCCGCCCACAGAGCAGGTGGCGGAGATCCGGTTCACCGAGGTGGAGCTGAGCGAGCTGCGACACGTGCTGGGCGTGCCGCCGTGCATCGTGGTGGGCGGGCAGGACGCGTACGGCAAGGTGCTGGTGGTGACGCGCCTGCTGGCCGAGCAGGTGCTGCCCATCGTGCCCCGCCTGACGCCCGGCCGCGCGTGGCGCCCCGTCCGCCTCAAGCACTCGCACGCCCGCACCGTCTGCCTCGCCCTCCCCGACCATGGCCCGCACGCCGAGGCCGGCTACGAGCTCGTGCACTCCCTCCACGCCCACGCGCGCCCGTGGGGCACCGTGCCGCGCGCCGACGTCGAGCTGGACCAGCGGGCCATGCAGGTGGGTGGCGTTATACTCAGGAGTGTCCGTTATTACAGGTTGATTTACATTGTCGGAACCATAACGATGTATTGATTGGGAAATCGCCAGCATTAACACATGATTGCCTGCAGTTTCATATCACTCGGCCATTATTCTTCATCATCCTAATTGCTACCACCATTACCTTGATGTCCGTCCCGCTTTCACACGGCCTCTAATCGCCGACCCCCCGTTGCTCGCCACAGGACCCCGTGGTGGGGAGCGCCATGCTGGAGGTGGGCCTCCCGCACCCGCTGCTGAAGGAGGGCGTGCAGGTGGTCATGACGCCCACCGTGCCCCACAATCGCGCCCTCAACACGTCCACCGAGTTCCTGAGGGCGCTGTTGCCCGAGGTGCTGCCCATCATCGTCTACGCCATCTCGCGGGACGACCTCTCCGACGCCGTGAGTGTTCGCTTCCCTTATGCGTTGCTGTTGGGTGTGGCGGTTCGCGAGGCTGTGTTATGTGTGCGTGTGGATGTATGTTGCGGGGAAGTGGATGTGTGTGTGGGAAGTGTGTCCAATTTTGTCAGGTCTTACTGGAATCCGTTGATAATATTCAAATTTTTAAGGCCGAATTTGATTTATTCTTCCGTCTTTCTCTCTCTGTCAGTCTGTCTACCTATCTATCATCTGTCTTTGTATCCAGTGTCTATATTCATCCTTATCTATCAATCTATCTATATTTATTTATCGTGGCCTCACAAGCGCACCAAGATGTGGACTTGTGCAACATAGTGTCATCCTACACTAAGACGTCTATACATAGTCGAATCGTACGTTTTGCCGTCAAATGAAGCGGGATCGTTGGAAGAGTAAGCATGGGAAGTCAGAGAGCCGGAGAAAAGGGGGAAACGGTAGCAAAAAACCGGCCCTTGTCATCGGATACGCTGAAAATAGGGCTTTGATATTCCGACGTCGAAGTGGCGCTCTGCTCTCTTCCCCTCCTGCTCTACCTCCCTTCTTTCTTTGCGTTCTCTCGCTGACCTTTTTTTCTCTCTTTTTTTTTCTCGTTGGCCTTTTTCCCTTCTTTCTTTGCCTTTCTTTTTCGCTGACCTTTCTCTTTTTCTGTGCTCTCTCGTTAGCTTTTCTTTCTCCCTTACTTTCACTCTATTTTTATTTTTATTTCGAGCTTTCCTTCCTGGTATGATCACGTTTCATCCTCGGTTTTGATGTTGCTCTTTATACTCTGCTTCTCGTATTTTGTGGAAGCTTTAATACCGATTGCGTATTTTGTTATTTTCGTTTCATCTGTTTCGTCCACTGTACTTTTAGTGCTTTTTCCTATCGTAAAGAAAGGAAGGTGTGATAAGCAGTGAGTCAGAGTCAAAAAAAAAAAAATGTAGAGTGACGGCATGACGTGCTTAAAAGTTAAAAATAGATAAATACGTAAATAAATAAATAAATCAGTGGATCCCATTTTTTTTTTCATTAGGTGCCCCTCCCCCTGATAATCTCCATGGCCCTTTTCAGTGACTGCCATCTTTTCAGATTCAGTTATTAATAGTCATGAATAATGTAATGGTGTCAGTAGCTATAGGACATGAACACTTTATGGAAAGATTGCAGTTTGTTGATATGTGAGAGATAATTGCATGTAGATACCGAGACAAGCTTTAATTCGACTTCAAAATTTGCATATTGCTCCACGGCCCCCCAGAATGTACCCAGTGACTGACCCCTAGTTTGGGAAACCGTGGCTTAGACGAAATGCGATGGATATTAAATGGGACACCTCACGAAACAACTTGCTCGAGTGACTCCTGGCGCTGTACTAGGGACATACGACCGGTTTGTTAGAATTGTGCGAGGCCAGACCCAAAGAATATTCGTATACTTATCATGCATAAATGAGAATAAATAAATGCATATTTATCAGTCTAGACATGCATATCAACCTGGCAAATAGGTTATTAAATGTATATCTATCATATAAAGAGACAGATATGCCTATATTTCTGCATCTGTGTCTATGAAAATTCATTGGGTCGGGCCTGGCACAATTTTAACAAACCGGCTGATAGTTTGGATTCCAATGTCCAGTCGAGGGGTCCGTGTAGTCCTACCCTAGAGGAGGGGGTGGGGGGGGGGGTAGGCGAAGGACTTCCATGCATATACGATTAGATATTTTAGCGGTTTATGTAAGTCAGCGGAAGGGAGGGAGGAGCAAGAGGAGGAGAGGGAGGGGAAGGAGGAGGAGCAGAGGGAGGGGGAGGAGGAGGAGGAGAGGGAGCGTGAGGGGGAGAGCGAGGGGGATTAGGTGGAGGAGTGGGAGGGGAGATGGAGGAGAGGAGAGAGGGGAGGGAAGAGAGGAAATAGACACAAACAAATGAGGGAGAGACGAGCTTGACCTCCGACGAAGGACAAGAAGCCATAAACAAGAGAGGAGGAGGAGTGAAGGTGAAGGGGAGAGGGAGAGGGAGAGCAAGAAAAGTGATTGAGAAAAAAGGCGAAGGGCTTTGCTTAAAAAAAAGAAAGAAAAAAAATGGAAGAGGAAACAGAGAAAAAGAAATCGAGACAGACAGAGGGAGACAAAGAGTGAGAGATAAGAGAGAAAATGAAAGGAAGAGAGTGGGGAATAGGGGGGTGAGAAGATCGCTAGCGGGACGATAAGAATTTAAGAATTACAATGAGAATTCCACGAAAACATAAGAATGGCACCGGAAGGACGAGAGGGGGCGTGGGGAGTTAGCAACAAGAATAGGCCTACCTGGAAGAACCGCGTAGATTACATGGGTGAGTTTGTGGTTTGGAGGGGGGTGGGGGTGGTAGTGGATGGGGGACAGGAGGGGGGGGAGTTTCGTGCAAGGGCAGGGCGAGGAGAAGGGTGGGTAGAGGGGGTGAAGGGGGTAGTGATAATGGTGATGGTGACGAGGAGGAGGAGGAGGAAGTAGAAGTAGAAGAGAAAAAGAGGAAGAATGAATAGAAGAAGACGAAGAGAGAAAGAGGAAGAAAAAGGAGAAGAATAAGGAGAAAAAAGAAGAGAAAAATAGGAAGAAGAAGAAAAGAAGAGAAAAAAGAAGAAGAAGAAAAAGAGAAAAAGAGGAAGACGAAGAAGAGGAGGAGGACAAGAATCTCGAACAGCGATTAGACATTATGTGAATCGACTATGTGCAAGAACATGATTCTGTGAAAGCTTGAAAATTCAGTGTTAGTGATGCAGCATGTTAAGACAAACACACGAGCATTTATGGAGATAAAATAATCAGCTTTTTTTGCGAGATTGTGAAAATGATGAATACGTCCGTGAACCATTGCTGTGTGTGTGTGTGTGTGTGTGTGTGTGTGTGCGGTGTGTGTGTGTGGTGTGTGCGTGTGCGTGTGTGTGCGCGCGTATTGCGTATTACAGATATACAGAGTTTTCTTTTCAGTCAACTTGTTTTTTTATGCGTCTCGAATGACAGCCACAAAGATCTGTTTCGTCCTGTTGATAATGTCGTGTATTTGTTTGCATTGTTGAATTTGTTTGATTTTTTCCCCAAATGGTATTGATTAGCGAAAATTAAGATAAAGTAAAAAATAATGAAGTCAGTGGAATTTTCAGCAAGTAAAAAATAATGAAGTCAGTGGAGTAAAAAATAATGAAGTTGGAATTTTTCAGCAAGTCTGGAATGTCGTAGTAACAAAATAATCGTACTCAGATTAGACATTGGTCGCTCAATTGTTTGTCAGTTGACCAAATGGGTAAATAACGACAACAATCACCCGAGTTCATACACATACAATCACCGGCGGGTTGTTTACACAGTGTGCAGAGGAAGTTACGAACGTTATCTCGGCGGCCGGTGATGTAAAACAGCGGTAAGCGAGATAATAACTGTGTTGATGTGATGCTGTTGCCCCATTCTTCGCCTCTCTCTGTCCGCTGTCACGCTTTCGATGATGTCATCAGTGGCACGCGAAAGAGCGATGTCTGAGCGAATGCAGGGGCGGGAAGGCTGGTCAGCGGGCGAAGGTGTCAAGAGCCCACGGAAAGGTCAGGCATTCCCGCACGCACGGCCGTTGCATATGCACACGCACACGTTGGCGCTCAGACACTCAAACGCGCGTGGGTGGGCGATTGAAGAGGAGTAAGTGGGGGCTATACAGATACGGGTGTTTGCATACGCGCGTAACATTTATTTGGCTTACGGGTGTGTGCGTGTGTGTGTGTGTGTGTGTGTGTGTGTGTGTGTGTGTGTGTGTGTGTGTGTGTGTGTGTGTGTGTGTGTGTGCACATACGTACATACATACATATATGTGAGTGAGTGTATGTGTGTCTGTGTCTGTGTACATATATGTATATAGATATATACATACACACACACTCTCACACCCACCCACACACACGTGTATGTGTGTGTGCACATATATTCACTTACATCTGCGTTTCTGTTTATTCTTATGTACACCTGCATCGCAATCTTTTTCCATAAAGGGAAAAACAACATCAGATGCAAAAACACCATTGTCAAAGAGAGCGAGAGACAGACAGACAGGGAGAGAGAGAAAAAAAAAGAAAAGAGAGATAATAGAGAGAGAGAGAGAGAGAGAGAGAGAGAGAGAGTGTGTGTGTGTGTGTGTGTGTGTGTGTGTGTGTGTGTGTGTGTTTTAAACGCATTTAGTGCTTTTGACGTTGCCGGCCATTCGGGTCGGGCTCTGTCTGTTGCCGCTATTGCGAATGGTTTATATACTATAGATGGATAGATAGGTATGATATGCATTTTGATAGATGAGAAAACGTAAAGCCATATTAGCATCAGTAACATGGAAGGAAGCGCCCCCAGAGCTTTCTATAATCTCTTTGCCCGCCCATTTAGACGACAGCAAACTCAAAAAAGGGCGTTGAGTGGACTTTATGGGAGATTAAAAGAAAATACAACCCCACCTCGTGTCAGATAACGGAAAGGATAGATCGTGCAGGTCAGCGGGTGCCCTGCATGCCATCCCTCTTGCAGTTCGGCATTAGCGGATTAGTTCGAGGAAAATACCAACTCAGGGCTGTTCTATGGGAGAGGGAGAACCATCTTGCATCTCCTTTCGGATTACGAATGGATTGGCCAGCTGCGCCAGGGCTCTCCCCACGTCGACAGATCATCGCACGCACTACGATTTTGGAAGCTGCGACGTTCCCGTGGGTTCGAGCGCACAGAACGAGCGGAAGAGAGTGATCGGAGAAAGGAAGTGGTAGTTGCATGGTTCGGGTCGTTCTCATGGCGGAGATGGGTCTCACTCCGGTGATTTTCGAATGATGAAACTGTCCTCTTTGTGAACAGGGGGAAATATAAAGGGGAATTTGACCGGTTTTCACCACCATGGCAGCTATAAGGAGGCGATGTAAAGGGCTATCTGGTGTCACCCTCCATGTCATTCAAAGAACACGCTAGCATTATGATATTCCCTTAAGGAAGACGAACTCAAAATCATCCTAAGAAAAGATTATAAGCATCTGCCGTGTATATCGTTCATGGTACTCTCAGATTTGTGACCGATCTGGAGTCCCCATGCACATCCCTCTTGGGTAAATCTTGAGGTAGGGTTAAAACGGTATTGTGAAGGGATGGCATGGATTTTGAGAATGACGTTGAATTATCTGAACAATTGTATTTTATCTTTACTATCTGTCATAAGGATGATCTTCATTGGATTATAAGTACTCGTAAATTTGGAATCGAAACGTAACGTGGCGGATCTGTTACTTTTGGAGTTTCATAACAGTTCCATGTGTTCCTAAGCAAAGGGTAGACTCTCGCACAAGAATCTATAAATCTATAGCCTTCGAGGTATATATTTAAGGCAGAAATCATTTTTGGGACCCCTCTCTAGATAAACTATAGACAGATAGGTATGTAGTAAAAAAAAAAAAATATATATATATATATATATATATATATATATATATATATATATATATAATGCATATATATATGTACAGTAAGTGGGGGCTCTACAGATACGGGTGTTTGCATACGCGCGTAACATTTATTTGGCTTACGGGTGTGTGTGTGTGTGTGTGTGTGTGTGTGTGGATAGATTGAATTGATTGATACAGTAGATGCAGATATAGATATATATGTGCGATTACAGATAACTAGCTATGTATATATATCCATGATATGTACGTATAGAGAAATATATAGATTAACAAATGGAGGGATGTGTAAGAAGGAGAAAAAAAAAAAGGGTTGGATAAGGTGACCTGCCTCGTACGTCGCCGTCACGTGCACCTCGGTTAATCCGTCAGCGTCGAGGTATTGCATGGTTCTTCGCCGTTGTTGAAGGGCGTACTGTTCGCCAGCTGGGGTCGAGGGGTAGTTAAGGGTGTCGTTGGGGGTCGTTGGGGTAGTTAGGGGGTCGTGGGGTTTAAGGGTGTCGGGGGTCGAGGGGTAGTTAAGGGTGTCGTTGGGGGTCGAGGGGTAGTTAAGGGGTGTCGTTGGGGTCGAGGGGTAGATAAGTGGGGTCGTTGGGGGTCGAGGGGTAGTTAAGGGTGTCGTTGGGGGGGTAGTTTGGGGTCGTTGGGTAGTTAAGGGTGTCGTTGGGGGTTAAGGGGTCGGGTCGAGGGTAGTTAAGGGAGGCGTTGGGGTCGAGGGGTAGTTAAGAGGTGTGTCGTTGGGGGGTCGTTGGGAGTAGTTAAGGGTGAGTTGGGGGGTCGTTGGGGAGTAGTTAAGGGTGTCGTTGGGGGTCGAGGGGTAGTTTAAGGGTGTCGTTGGGGGTCGAGGGTAGTTAGGGTGTCGTTGGGGGTCGAGGGGTAGTTAAGGGTGGTTGGGGGGTTGGTTAAGGGTGTCGGGTTTGGGGGTGTCGTTGGATAGTTAGGGTGTTTTGGGGTCGTTGGGGTAGTTAGGGTGTCCGTTGGGGGTCGAGGTGGGGTGTGTTCGTTGGGGGTTCGTTGGATAGTTTGGAGTGAGGATGGGGGGTGTGAGGGGGGGTGTTGGGAAGGATGGGGGTGTGAGGGGGGGATGGGAGGTGTTTGGTTGAGGTTGGGGAGTTGGTGTCTGGTTGGGGAGGTTGATGTTCGGGATGTTGAAGTCGGGGAGTCGGTGTTTGAGATGTTGATGTCGGTGAGGTTTAGGTTCGGGGAGTCGGTGTTTGAGATGATGTCGGAGATGGTTAGGTCGGGGGGTCGTGTGTTCGGATGTTGTTCGGGAGTCGAAGTGTCTTTGAGATTTTAGGTCGGGCAGTCGATCCGGGGACTCGATGTCCGGGATGTTGAAGTCGGGGAGTCGGTGTCTTGAGATATTTAGGTCGGGGACTCGATGTCGGGATGTTGAAGTCGGGGAGTCGGTATCTGGGATGTTATGTCGGGAGTCGATGTCCGGGGAATGTTGAAGTCGGGGGACGGTATCGGTGGAGATTTTAGTCGCGGAGTCGGTGGGGGAGATTGAAGTTGTCTGAGGTCGGTATAGATCAGCCTATTTTAGAAGCAAAATCTGACAGTCTGAAACTGTACTTCGAATCTCTAGGCCTAACGCATATAAGACACGTGAGAGGTATGGCATTATGACGGGAGAAACTCATGGGTCACGAGGAATGTAAGTAGGAACAATGGCCAATAGAGATCCATGCATATTATAACATACATACATACACGATGCGGTGTAAAATATGGTATATATAGGATGGATATGAGAGTATTTGGGGAAATTCTCTATCACGGAAGCACATCGGCAACGCTCAATTATTCTGTCCTCTGCATCGTCATCTTACAGAGTCATGAGAGAAGATGCAATGTCTAGATCGAAGAGAAGAGAAGAGAGAGATGAGAGAGAAGAGAGGAGAAGAGAGAGAGAGGAGAGAGAGAGAGGTCTCCTCTCTCGACGGGAGTGGGAGGAGTCGGAGATGTCTCGTCAGAGTGCGGATCGGCTCGTCATGCGAAGTGGCCTTCGTCATCGGGATCGTCTGCTCGTCTCTGCATCAGTCATCTACGCGTCGCATACCATCGAGACGACGATACCATCGTGCGCATCGGATGCCTACGAGTACCGTACGCCATGCACCGTACGCACGTGACAGCACGCTCGAGTCTCTCAGAGAGAAGAGAGACTTCCCCGCGATGCCCGTACACCGTACGCAAGATCAGAGTCACGCATCGACGTCAGATCTATTAATAAAAGAGACGAAGAGATGTAAAACAAAATCTCTCGGCGAATCGTCTCGAGGGGGGGAGAAGGTGAATCGCAGTTCCGAGTTACGTAATGGGGCACAGGAAGGTACGGGAAAGTCGACTCGCCGGTGGACGTGCGGCGAAGGAACGCTGTGATTGTCTTCCGCTGAGTACGGAGGAGAGAGCATTATGGTGCTAATTGGGGGCTCGCGGGGGTAGGGTGGGGGAGGGGGGAAGATGTAGGCAATGGATTTAGGAGATGTTACTTTTCTTCAGTAAGCTGGGGGGGCGGGGGAAGAGTGGGGGAGGGGGATAGGCGGAAAGAGCAATGGATTTTAAGGATGTATCCTTTCTATCGGTGCTGGAGTCACTGATCTCGGGCCTTGGCCGACGCTAGACTGAGTCCCCTTAGATTTCTTTAACTCTTGATTAATTGTTTATTTCTTCTGGTTTCCTCTTATTTTTCGGGTTTCTTTCTCTTACCACTCTGTCTTTAATGTTCTCTCTCTCTTTCTCTCGTCTCGAATCTGCTCTCGACGTCAGCGTCTCATCTGGCTAATCTCTCTCATCTAGGAAGAAGGTCTCTCTCATCTTCTCAATCCTCTCATCTCATCGTCTCTCTCTCTTTAAATAAATCCGCAAAATGTACAAACTATCTCTGCGCGAATCGTCCTGCGAAGAGGATCGGTTCCAAGTTCTGGCCAAGTCGAATAACTCGCCGGTGGCTGCCGAGGAACGCTGGCTGATTGGTCCCGCTGAGTGGCAGGCCCTTTTGTTATTATCCTCGGGAATCTGGTACATGCACTCGGTCAATGTCGAGATCTCATCGGGGGAGCGGCTCTGGATTTCTCGTCTCAGGTCTGCTCATCTCTCTCATCTCTCTCTCTCTCTCTCTCTCTCGTCTCTCATCTCGGAGCTCTCCTGTTCGCATCTCTCTCGGTCGCCTCCCTCTTCCTCGGTCCCTCTCCCTCTCCTCTCCCTCTTCCCTCTCCCTAAGCCTCTCGTCGCATCGTCAACCTCCGCATCCACGTCTCACCCTCCATAGCCACTGACCTCTCCCTACCGTCACGATCCCATGCCTCCCTCTCCGGTGAGCACTAGCCTCTCCTCTCACTACTCCCTCCCTCGCGCTCATGCCTCCCTCTCCGCTCTCCTCTCCTCTCCCCCACGGTCCTCTCTCCTCTCTCTTTAATAATCCGAAAATGTAAACAAAATCTCTCGCGAAGCGTCTCGAAGAGGGAATCCTTTCCAGTTCTTGGCCCAGAGTCGGAAATAACTCGCCGGTGGCTGCGCACGAAGGAACGCTTGCTGATTGGTCCTCCGCTGAGTCGGCCCTTTTGTTATTATCTGGTCTCTCTCATCTCTCTCACTCTCTCTCAGTCTCGTCTCTCTCTCAATCTCTCTCTCTCTCCGTCTCTCTTCATCTCTTTCTCTCTCGTCTCTCTCTCTCGCTCTCTCTCCTTCTCTCTCTCCCTCCCTCTCCTCTCCCTCTTCCTCTCTCTCCCTCTCCTCTCCGCTCCCTCTCTCCATGCTCCCTCCCTCCCTCTGCCTCCCTCCCTCTCTCCCTCCTGCCCTCCCTCCCTCGGGGCCTTCCTCCCTCCCTCTCCTCTTCCGCTCTCGCCTCCCTTCCCTCTCCCTCCCTCTTCCCTCCCTCTCCCTCTCCCCCCGCCTCCCTCTCTCCTCTCGTCTTTAATAATCGTAAAATGTAACAAAATCTCTCGCGAATCGTCTCGAAGAGGGAATCCTTTCCGGTTCTTGGCCCAGAGTCGGAAATAACTCGCCGGTGGCTGCCCGAGGAACGCTGTTGATTGGTCTCCGCTGAGTCGGCCCTTTTGTTTTGGGGGCTTTATCGGGTAGTGGGGGGGGGGGCGGGAGGGGGGAGGGGGGAGTGGTTGTAGCATGGATTTAAGGATTTCTTTCTTCGTCTGTCTGTGTGGTCTGTCTTGCGCTTACATCCTCCTTTTTTTTTTCTGTTTTTTTTTTTTTCCTCTAATAGCTTCTATTCTCTATTCTCTTACTCTCTTTATTTCTCTTTCTTTCGCTTACNCTGCCACCGTCCCTGCGACCTGTCCTTGTCACTTTCCCTTGTCACTTCTCTGTCACTCTCTCTGCCACCTTCCCTGCACTTTCCT